TCCGGCACGTATCGCGCCACTCGGTCCGTCTCTTCTCGTTTGCTTTTTTCCCTCGCCCTGTCGTCCGTCTCCTGCCCCCCTCCCGCCCCATTGGTTGGTGGCTTGTGGTTTCGTTTGAGCGCCCGTTGTCCGCTGGCCTCTTCTTCCTTCTCGTGCCAGGAGGTCATGAACCTCTCAGCTCCCTGCAGCACCGCCGCATGCCAGGGTACTCCCCCCTCTACCTTCGCGGCTTCCGTCCACTTTAACGTCGGTGCCGTGTCTTTCGGTACCGGGATTCCGAAACAACATGGATCGGTTTTCGTAGATCCGTGGTCGGCCCCGAATGCCTTCAGGTCGTCAAGCACACACTTGGGCCAGTTCTGTTCCTGTCCCCCCCTACGTCGCTTCTCCCCCCCTGCCAGTTCGCCGAACATCAGTCGTTTCGGGAGTCGCCCGTCCGGCTGCCTTGCCAATGCTCCCGCGAACAGTAGGCGTCGTTGTCGGATCGTGGCTTCAACGCTCTGGCATTCGACCCTCTTCAGCGTCAGGGCGTAAGAGAGCTGCCGGTACGTCTGGGTAAGTTAGTGATGTTTGCTGAGGTTTTTTAGGTAGGGGACAAAAAATCCAAAATCGTAAAAGCCTCGGGAACCTCCTTGAAACCATAGGGAAATGCAACAGAGGGAAGACACCATCACGCGGAGGTCAACAGCTCGGTGCACGGAGGCTAATCTCCGGTGGCGGACTTCGTATCTGCTTGGTTAGGTTAGTAGGAGAGTTGTGGCCCACGGGCATGGCGAAATTTTGCCTTCTCGTCGAGAAGTCGGCGGTACAAAAAGTGCCTAGGCATAGGCTGAAATTCGCTGCCTGATCCTCCGCACCATACTGCCACACAGCATTCCGCACCGCCAGCTGCTGCTGCTGTGGGCAATCTTCCTGTGTCATCATGTGTTTTATTACTCTCTCTCTCGGAGCTATACGATCTGTACACACGGCCTGCGGCTACACATCCGCTCCAGCGTTGTGAAAGGTTGGGCACGCACGTGCTGAGACTGCCAGCTGGAGCGCAGGCGACGCTCCTGTTCTGTTGTTCCTTATCCATGTACATGTATCATACGCACGACAAGCTGAGAGAGAGCGAGAGAGAGAGAGAAAGAGAGAGATATGCATGGAGGGCGACCATCTTCCTAGACAGCAGTCATTCAGACCAGAGACACTGCAAATAAATACTTCGGGAAGTCGGGGATGCTACGTAATGTACTGCTGTGTAGTCAATTTGGGCGCCATGGGTACCCTCGTGACACAAGATAACACACCCCCTCAGCCTGTTTTCAAAGCTCAATTTCTCCACATGATGACTGGCAGCGCCCAAAACGGCGGCGTTGGAGCCGTCTTGTCGAGAGCTTTCCGACAACGTGTCGTTTCATTTCTACATTTTCTTCGTCGTGGAGTAATCGGGCTTTGAAATTCGGTCCAGGGGGTGTGGTATCCAGTGTCACCTACGGTATCGTGGTTTCAAAATTAGCTGCCAGCTGCCAGCTCGATAGTGACGGCGGAAATATCTCTTGGATTCCAGCACGCACCGCAGGAGGAAGGTCGGGCACGAAAAAGCCTTTGGTCTTGACCCTCTCATGTGTGACCCTGGATGGTTGTAGTTGTACGAAAAGGTACACAGGAAATTGTACACGTACCAACTGGGGCCCGGTGTGTCCAGAGATTTTACCGCTGCACTATCAGCGGGCACCTGGGCTTTTCAGAAGCGGGATATACAGGTGACAGTACACGAGCGGACACTCGTGCCTACAGATTTTACCTGCACTATACCGGGCACCTGCACTTTCGAGAGCCCAGTACTGTACACGTCTCACCACGGAAAACGGGGGGACTGATGTCGCCATTTTATAACACACACACGTTCATCTGCAGATTGGTTTGTGCCACCGAATGTATTTGTTTGCTTCGAGGGCAGCAGTGGATCCCGAAAAAGGTGGTGCGGTGCGTGCTGACGGCGTTGCGAGAAGAACCGGGGAGGGTGGTATGCCTTTTTTCCCGCCGAGTACGGTAGCTGTGCATTATGTGCGGTGTGCATTATGTGCGGTGTGCATGAAGTGCGGCAGCTATGAGTGGTAGCACCCTGTAGGTGTGACTTCGCTAGCCTCCTCTCTAATATTTATTCGTTGAAGCACCACAGCCACACCACGGACAAGCCAACAACTCCTCACCCTCGGGTTCCCGGGTGTCCAGCGACGAAAAGGGAGATCAGACCCCTCGATGTTCGTCTACAATATACATCTCTCTCTGTCTGTCTGTCTGTAACGCAAGGCAAGATGCACATAAATATGCATATGTAGTACCTGACTGCACTAATTTGATCACCACATGTAACCAGTGCTCACAGCATTTCTGCCGGTTAGGAGCTCCGACCCGTTGTCACACAGACGAGGTCTTGCCATCCCCACCTCTCCTGCGGTACTTTTTTACATTCTGCGAAGTGATAAATGAAGCCTCTCCGTGCCGGTGGGGGTGGATGCCGTCAACAGGCACTGACATGCGCAGCTGTTCGCTCCTATTATCTAATCTGGGTTGAACGATCTGAGTGGGAAGGTGCTGGTTCGCCACAGGCGTTGGTGTTTGCCCTACTGAACAGTACTTCTGAAGCAGTGATATCGTTTGTTAATACATTAATTCACCCCGCTAAGAGAAAAACATTTAAGGCACGCAGTTCGCTGATTGGCCAACGCCCCCTGCGGCGGAATTTAAAAAACAGCAAAAAAATAGGGCACGATCGAAGATCCTTGGATGTCGGGTGACGTCATCCACGGTGGATTGACTGTTGCCTCAAAAGGAAGGACACAACAATACACTTACCTATGTTGCTACTCTATCTCTCTGTGTGTGTGTATTCCGCTCCTCGTCCGGTGCCGTACGACTAGGGGAGGAGGCAGAAGGCCGTAGGGTTAGGGGGAGACAGTCGACCGGGGGACATGCTGCGCAACATGACGATGACCGTATGGCTAGACGTCGGCCAGGACGGCGCGCATCTAACATGCCGGTAACAAAGAAAAGAAAGGTGTTATGCCCA